AAGAAAGCATGGCTAGATTTACTAGCAACCAAGGCTAGTAATTCTAGCAGTATGAATGATGATATTGAAAGGAAAAAGGCAGTTTTTAGACACCTAAATAAGAGAGTAAAAGAAGTAGTTGAAAGGAAAAAGCAAGAAAGAACAGATAAGAATGATAAAAGAATATCGGATAACTTCCAGGCAAACATTAAAATGTTCTGGAAACTCGTAAGAACTACCAGGGGACATTCACAACAACCTAGAATGAATGCTATACGAGACCAGAATGGCTGTATTCTGAATGACGAAGTTTTGAGTTTAAGGAGATGGAAGGAATACTTTGAAAGCGTGTTTATGAGTGATGAGACGTTTGAATTAAATGAAATAGAAATTCCGAAAGAAGAGGAAATAGATAGAGATATAAGTATAGATGAAATAATGAAAGCAATGAAAAGTATGAAAGCAGGTAAGGCAGCCGGTTATGATAGAGTATCTCTCGAAATGCTAAGGGCTGGAGAAGGAGTGGTGGCAGACCTGCTGTACACCTTGTTTAATTTATGTTGGGAACTTAAGCGGGTACCGGGAGACTGGTGCAAAGCCGTGATAGTCCCAATATATAAGGGAAAAGGATCACAGCAGGACTGTAAAAACTACCGTGGTATCAGCCTTCTTAGCATTGTGGGAAAACTATATGCTAAGGTACTAATTGAAAGAGTTATGAAAGAAACTGACGGAAAAATTTGGGATGTGCAAGCGGGATTTAGAAAGGGAATGGGATGTACGGATCAGGTCTTTTCCATGCGCATGATCGCCGAGAAGTTTTTGGCCAAAAATCAAAAAGTTTTTTGTACGTTCATGGACTTGGAGAAGGCTTATGACAGAGTGGACAGGGATGTGTTATGGCAAACACTGAACTCATTTGGGTTGAGCGCTGGTCTGATACAGGCATTGAAGAATAGAATAGAATAGAATAGAATAGAATAGAATAGAATAGAATAGAATAGAATGATTTTTATTCAATATGGATTATTACATAATACTTATTGAAAGTCATTATTTTATTTACCACTGGTTCGGAAAATACCTCTGTCCTGGGAAGAACCAGCAAGAAACCCAGCGGGACTTTTTTTTTTAAACATAATTTCACTTAACAATAATTTTGATTATACAATTTTAAATGAATTTTCATAGAACCAGCATGGTGGCGATCACCTTATTCCCAGGGGTTATTTTCACTCATGTATTCCTTGATATTATAATAACCCTTTTTGTACAGTTTTTCTTTAATAAAACTTTTAAACTTGTTTATTGACAAACTTTGAACATGTTCTGGGATTCTGTTGTAAAAGCGTATACATTGCCCCATAAATGAATTACTAATTCTGTGGAGTCTTGTAAGTGGCATTACAAGCTTATGTTTGTTCCTAGTGTTTAAGGTATGAACATCCTTATTCTTATTAAAGCTATTTATGTTTTTATGTACATACATTACATTTTCATAAATATATTGCGATGCCAAAGTTAATATGTTTATTTCTTTAAATTTTTCTCTAAGGGACTCTTTACAATTTAGATTATAAATCGCCCGTACGGCTCTCTTTTGCAAAACAAATATAGCTTCAATATCAGTCGCATTACCCCATAGCAAAATTCCATAAGACATTACGCTATGAAAGTAACTAAAATACACTAACCTAGCTGTCTCAACATCTGTGAGACTTCTAATCTTTCTTACAGCATATGCTGCAGAACTAAGTCTGCTTGCTAATTTAGATATATGGGGGCCCCATTGAAGTTTCGCGTCAATAGTAATACCGAGAAAAACAGTGGTATCCACAAGACTCAACTCCTCCCCATTTAAGAGCACATTGGTTTTCGAATGTTTTACATTAGGTATTGTAAATTTAATACATTTTGTCTTATTGCCGTTTAAGAGCAAATTGTTGGCGTTAAACCAATGTACTAGTTTCGATAGAGCATTATTTACATCGTCATATTTAATTGACTGCCGTTTCAGTTTGAAAATTAAAGAGGTATCGTCAGCAAATAATACTATATCGTGATTGTCCCCTACAAGATAAGGTAAGTCATTAATATAGATTAAGAACAGGAATGGGCCAAGAATCGAGCCCTGAGGAACGCCCATTGATACTACCGATCCGGAGGAACATTTACCATTAATGACGACTTTTTGAGTTCTGTTACTTAAATATGAAGTAATAAGTTTAAGCGCCAAATTTTTTACACCGTAATGTTGTAGTTTCCTGATTAATGTATCATGATGAACACAATCGAAAGCCTTGGAAAGGTCACAGAAAATACCTAAGGCATCTTGTGAATTCTCCCAGGCATTAAAAATATATTTCATAAGCTCAACACCGGCGTCAGACGTCGAGCGACCCCTTGTAAAACCAAATTGATTTTTATGAAGTAATTTATTTGTATTAAAAAAAATTAACAATTGATCCAAAATTATTTTTTCAAAAATTTTACTGAGAGTTGGTAGTACAGAAATAGGTCTATAATTAGCGGGGTCCAATGTACTACCAGATTTAAATAAAGGTATTACTTTACTATACTTCATTAAATCAGGAAACACACCAGAATCGATACAAGTATTAAAAATAATAGCAAGATGAGGTGCAATTAAATCTATTATGGACGTAATCACTGTAACGGAAATCCCCCACAAATCTGCGGTTTTCTTTACATCAATGGTTTTAAAGTATTTTACAATATTATGCGGTAATACTTTTTCAAATCTAAATTCTTTTAAACAGGTATTAACATTCTGTTTAAGTAATGATTCGGCGACAGTTGGAGAAGCATTCAATGACTCTGTTGTCAAGATAGGAACATCAGTGAAATATTTCTCAAACACCGCTGCAACTTCTTGATTTGATTTAGTCAAGAAGTCTCTATATAGGGACTCTAGTGCTTGTGCCAGGATCAACGGGGCCTACTGGGATTGGTTTTACATCCATAAAGGTGTCAGACAGGGCTGTGTGGCTTCCCCGTGGTTGTTCAACCTATTTATGGACAGTTGTTTGGAAAATTTGAAAGTAGAAGAATGCGGGTTAAGAATGGGTGAGTTAACCGTCAAATGCCTTTTGTACGCCGATGATCAAGTCATACTTGCGTCGTCGGCAGCCGTGTTGCAAATGATGGTTACATTAATGAACAGGACATTAAAAGAAAAGGGAATGAAAGTGAACGCAAGTAAGACGAAAGTTATGGTTTTTGAAAGAGAAGAAAGTAAAACGATATGTGAAATAAGAATAGAAGGGGAGTTGGTAGAGCAAGTAGATGAGTTTGTATATTTGGGATGTAGTAGTAGTATATACTTTATTGTACACCACACATATACAACGAATAAATACATTACAGAGAAAACTTAATATATACGTATGTACAATAAGGCGGTCTTATCGCTAAAGTTTGTTTAGCAGGGATGGTAGATATGATAAGGATATAGAATGACGAGTGAATGCAGGAAATAGAGTGAATGGGGCTCTACACTCTATTGTGAAAAGTCAGAATGTGTCCAAAAAGGCAGTATGGCAATTCACAATGCTGTGTTAGTACCTACTTTTATGTATGGTAGTGAAAGTTGGGTGTGGCAGAAGAAGCATGAGAGTAGAATAAATGCTGTAGAAATGCGGTCATTAAGGAGTATGTTAGGGATGAAGCTGAATGACAGAGTGAGACATTGTTTAATAAGAGAAGAGTGTGGTTTGCAAGATGATGTTGTGACCAGGATTAAGAAAGGAATGCTTCGGTGGTTTGGCCATGTAGAAAGAATGAATGAGGAAAGAGTGACAAAGCAAATTTATGTTGCAGAGGTGAACGGCATAGTCGGGAAGGGTCGCCCTAGGCGAAAGTTTATCGACCAAATTGGCGATATATTAAAAATGGGCCAAATCAAGAGTACCTTTAACCGACGAGCGTGTATGCGTAGGTATATGGATGTGGAGGAAGCGAGAGAGGTGTGTCAGGATCGTGCCAAATGGAAGTCCATAATCTCTGCCTACCCCTCTGGGTGACAGGCGTGAGTGTTTATGTATGTATGTATTATGTACATAGCTACATTACTGTTATAATGACAGCTACAACTCGGATACAGAGTCGAATTAGTCGCTCATCTAATCCGCATATTTTATGAGGGTGAACGACTGGTGTTGGTAAACAAATTCGATGCAACACCACCGTTATTTTGGTAATTTTTAAGTTTAAAAAAAGTTCATAGCAATAATGTGATTAAAAATTACTTACATATTAAAGAACATCTCTTTGTGCCTCAAAAAGCTGAACAATTCGGCAGTTTTAGGACGTTATTCAGCATGATAGAACCATGCTGCAGCTATATTATGACTGCAGCACAAATAGATCGGCTCGACCGGGTAAAGACTACGCTCTCACAGAATACCAGCGTAAAATAGCAACTTAATGCTGCTACTTTCGTATGGTAAGTATAAAGAACCGGAGACCCTTTTTGTATCTGCATTTTGATTCTTATTTGAGAATAGATGTAGAACGTAGCATCCACTTAACATCCTCGGTGGACTGTTTGTTGGTTTGTCACCTTTGTCTTGTTCTATAAAAAAAAACATCGTTTCAGCCACGCAACTAGATTATAGTCTATTGAGCAGTGCGGCTGCAACTAGTTTTATTATACCCACAGGACCACGTGGTCTTATACTTTGACAGAGGGGAACGCCTGCGTATGGCTACTCACCTCCGGCCCGCCGGTGACCAGTATTGCTCTATGAATTAAATGCAAGAAAAAATGTATTTGGATTAAAAATTTAAAAATTATAAAACATTTTTCTTAAATGAATGATATTCCTATGAATAATTAATATATCATCCCACAAAGACAAAGGATTTGTGTAACATCCATGTCACACCTATACCGGTAGTTATTAGAAGCACCGCGCTCGAAGTTGTTGACGAGTATGTTTACCCAGGAAAAATATGTACAAACTATACTGAGTTACTCCAAATTGCGCTTTTTTGCTCAGGTCCGCGCACCAGAAGACCGAAGAAGCCACCCGGGGAAGGAACCACGACTGATGAGAAGCGACCCAGGACCGCGTTCTCTGGCCCCCAGCTTGCTAGGCTAAAGGTAAATCAAATCTCAAAAAATTACAATTAGAATAACCTGCCGATTCATGCTGTGACATTTTATTTTTAAACGATAGTATTAGATGTTTATTTCTGCTTATCAAAAGTCCACCGCTGAACAGACCCCCATAGAGAGCCTCATAGGAGAGATTTGCCACAGTTGCCACGCTTGGTGGGCAGGTTGACAACCGCAGATTTTTATTATTTAGAATTGTTATCAGGAGGATGCTTCTGCAGATCTCTAGTTTTAGTTTCCCTCTATCGCCTGCGATACCCACGGGATGATATGGGATAGTGTTTTCTCTGACGTCACCACTATACAGTGACCACCAATTTATTAGTAAAGGTAAAAAAATAACTTTCAATAAGAATTACTTTTAATAGAAATAACTTTCTGTACAAATAACTGAAGAGTTTACTTGTAATTTTAAAGTAACAGAATTTTACTAAATGCATTTGAAAGTATATACGATACTAATAACAACAAAAAATAATTTTTAAAATGTTTGTCTGTCTGTCTTTCTGTCGGTCTGTCCAGCTAATCTTCGAAATGGCTGGACCGATTCTGACGGGACTTTCACTGGTAGATAACTGATGTTATAAGGAGTAACTAAGGCTCCTTTTATTTGGATTTTAACTAAGGTTCTGCGCAAAAAAAAATATTAAAACCCATGAAATCCAATCGTAATAATTTCGACGCAGAAGAAGTCGCGGACAAAAGCTAGTATTGAATAAAAATTATTCTATTCTATATTTTTGTAATTATTTGAATGATCCTCGATAAGAAAGTTGGTAACACTCTTGCGAATATAATAAAACGATCCTATAAAACTTTGTCTGAATGACGATTTGTCCACAGCACGAATTTGCTGAGAACCGGTACCTGACGGAAAGAAGGCGACAAGCTCTAGCAGCCGAACTGGGGCTTGCGGAGGCCCAGATTAAAATCTGGTTCCAGAACAAACGCGCCAAAATCAAGAAGGCTTCCGGGCAGCGGAACCCACTCGCCCTACAACTCATGGCACAGGGACTCTACAACCACAGCACCGTTCCTCTGACGAAAGAAGAAGAGGAATTAGAGATGAAAGCTAGAGAAAGAGAAAGAGAACAGCAGAATCGGCATTGATCCTAATCTAGAAATCGTCGTCTTAGTAATGAATAACTGGCTTTACGGCTCTGGGTTCTAGCCCTTCTGAGTTAGTAATGAATAGTATTGTTTGTTTTACTTGCGAAGGAATGCATTTAAATATTACGTCGTTTTAACTGGTATTAATTCTATTAATTTCATTCGTGTAAAATTGTCATTAACTAGCGTTTTCATTTTAAGTAGCTTCTTGATTTTGCTAGAAAGTAGATAACAATATCGTACAGATTGTTGATATAAAAATACATAATGGTTCAAAAAATTTTGACAGAATTCAGTTAAACTTATTCTGCCTTATTACAGAAAGTGGTTTACTGATACATCTCTGGCTTGGACTGTTGGTTAAGAAGATTCTTTTTTACTAAAGCTAAACAAGTCCGTTAGCCATGGTGGCGCCAAAGTTTGAAATTTTACATTCTCTGTAAAATTCCGTACTCTTTTTGTGAAACAGATTCTAATTCAAATCTTATATTAATTATAAACTATTTTAACCGACTTCAACAAAAAGAAGAGGAGGTACTCAATTCGACTGTATTTTTTTATGTGTGTTACCTCAGAACTTTATTTTTAGGTGAACCGGTTTTGATGATTCTTTTTTTATTTGATAGCTGGTGCTTCTCATGTGGTCCCATATAAATTAGATCAAGATCTTTAATAATGCGTATTTAATTGACTACATTGATGGTTTCCTCATTTTCTTTAATATTAAAATCGGTTGTACAAAAGTTTTTGTAATAAGGTCAATAATGTCGTTTATTTTGGTATTTTTTAACATTATATCTACTACAACATATAGAAAAGAAATTGTAGATCAATGTATATTTATCACGTAATCGCGCAATAACATTCTTACAATGGACGCTAATGCGTTTTCTAATCAATTCTAATCAATGCGAAGATAAATAATAAAATATACAATAGATGCGAAATCAATCGTTCGAAAAGAATCATTAGAAGTGTCATTAAACAGCCTATAAAAGTCCACTGCTGAACATAGATGCTCCAATTCCTAACATTGCGACCCGTAAACCTATATATATATATGGGACTATTCCTGAAAACCTATTACATAAAAAATCATTTTATACGGTGTAGCTGTTTTCTAGAAATCGGTAAACATAGATTAAAAAAAACATATGTCGAATTTAGAACCCTGTCGAATTTTTATATAATTTGATTGGATAAAACTAATTTTACAGATATTATATTAACACGGTCAATTTTATCAAATGTTATAAAATAGTCCGGTTCCGCACGTATGGTTACCGTAATTAAAACCATAGTCAAGCATGCTTAGCCTCAGGCACCTCTCATTAAGACATCAAGATGCTGTGAGCTATTTGTGCGTAGATCGGAACGAAAATAATAATTGCTAAAGACGGCGTTGTGGTGCAGTGGCTTAGCATTGAGTTGCTGCGCAAAGGTCCGCGTGTTCGAATCCTGCACGTAACAAGTATCTGCATTGCATAAAAATAATTGCTCCAGGTATGGATGTTAGTCCATGTACGATTTACGTATGTAAACTGTCTTCACGATACAGGAGGAAATTCTAGTGAGGCGGTAATGTATTTTAAAGAACGTAATTGCGGTAGTCACTTACCACCGCATGCACATTTGCCTTCTCGTATATAAAAAAAAAACTCCAGTCTCTTTCCATGACGATGTGCTTGAATACAATCGTAACTTTCCGATCAGAAAATAAGTTAAAATAAACGCTATAAATTCAAGAAAATTACACAGTTTAATAATATAACTGAAAAATTATTTCTTAAACAGAATTTGGAAAAGAATAGTTTTAAATTCAATTGTCTTTGTAAAATGACATGTCAACGCAAATTGATTTCGATGCAACAAATTGGATTTAAACACGCAAAACGAAAATAACTTCAGGGATTTGTATTTGAAGGTACATTTGCTAAGGATAATACCGAATAATGCTGGTCATTTTTAAGATTTACAATAACTGATATTGACTCATAAATTTTGAAAATAACATCGACTGTTAGTCGTTTTAGAATGTCGTTTTTTGTATTTTTAATGAAATACTGAATAAGAATATCATTAATTAAAAAGTAAATAATGAGTAAAGTCCAGTGTTCAAGCTTTCGCAGGACCAATAAAATATTTAAGTTGTCGGTGAATGAAAAAAAAATACCATGGCAAATGTGTCATTAATTAAAGTAATAGATGTCTTAGTTTTAATTAAAGATTGCAGTCTAAGCAACAGTGTTGCAACTGAATATATTAAAAGAAGTTTGTTTGTTGAAATGGAACAAAATCTAATAAAACCCTTTAGTATATTTTTTACATGTCAATTAATATATTAATTTATAGCATTCAATGTTTTTTGTTTATCTGCGAGAGAAATTTACTGCAAACATTTGCAATTCACTTAATGTTTTCACCTTGTAAACACTCGTAATGAACAGACAAACATGTCGTGTTCGGCAGTATGATAATTCATTAGCACACTCGACTGATTCTTTGCATTGTTGATTCTTATTTTGAGTCTCCATTCAGCCGCTAGGAACGGGGTTTCAATCAGTGAGAATAATATATCACACGCGGAAATTATAAACTTAATCAAGTTAAAACATAATATGTTTTATTAACTTGTTATACAACCACTGATTAAACTGTTTTTTTTATTTGAAAGTAAATTTTTAATTTATCAATGTTGTTAAACCTTTCCTAACTTTAATGAATAATCATACTACGACTAAACATTGACGGAGAGTCCCTGGAGAGCTGTCAATATTATGTATGCTGTAACGCAAATAAAATTATATTTGTTTTAGCAATTTAAAAACAATATGGCTGTATTAAAAATGGAAGCTATTATAAAATTTAAGGTTTGTCCCATTTTGTTCAGTGCAGAATTAAAGAGTTTGCTTATTAGAACGATTCGACGTTCGCGGGCGCGCTCAAGAAAACAGGCCTCATATATTTACGGATGCATAAAGCGTATCATACAGACGCAACCCGCTGTTAGAATTAAAATATGAAAGAATACAATAATCACGAAGACCACAGAAGGCGAGTCGTTTGGTTTTTTGTTCCGCTTGTCGGTTCAACTTCGAACGACAACCATGCATATTCATCTTTTGAAATTGTATTTATGTACATATACTATAGTGTTTTAATATATTTCTCATCTCCGGTGGTATTACATTTGAAGTAACTAAAATGGAGTCATTGTTTGAAGTGATTTATTAGGTTTGACGTTAAAAATAAGATGGGCGATGATAGATGCATTGTAGGAGAAAAATAATTAATTGCACTATATTTTAAATTTTTACATTTCATTTTGTTACAAGTTAAATTGTCGAACTCAAAACATGTATTACATTCAGCAGACATTTTTTGTTATTACTATCTATACGTTAAGTATTTTTTGTATAACTTAGAACAATTCTCTTCCGTTGATGTGGTATTAACTACAACTAAACGGAAACACAGACGTAATAATTATTTAATAGGACTCTCGCCATTATCCACTTACCTAATAACAGCGACGTTACTATTAAAGTTAGTTAAGCAATTTGTTAATAATTCAATCTAGCTATTACGTGTCCCACTCGATTTGTATAGAACTATAAAAGCCGTGTAAATATAACGTTAGAGATTAAAATAACAAAGTAATTAAGTTATTTATTGTGCAATGTAGCAGTATTAGTAGAGAAAACTAGTTTGACGATATTCTTAAGAGACGTTCCGCCATTGCCTTAATTAAAAAAAAAAGAAATGTCATAATTAACGCAGCATTATATTTCCTGCTTTATTTTTATGCGACTAGTATATCATTATTCGATATTCATAATCATTTTAATGAAAACTATTGTAAAATACACATGAAACAACGTGGCCACATATTGACGAAAAAAATTGTTATTGTATTGTAATTGTTTCTGTAGAATATTGTCAACCATTAAAAATATGTATGTAGATGTGGTAATTTACCGAAAATCTTTATTAAAACAAGTAAAAAGTTACAATTGTTATTTTATTTACTTTATCCCAATTTTTATAACATTTTAGAGTTTTATAATCAATAATAGAATTCTAAGGACAAATCACCTCGGTGTCTGTTATTTTTTTTCGTTTATTATAGGCATTTGCTCAATGGCTTTCAGCCAATAAGCGTTTGTCTGTTCGTCACAGATAGTTTACATAGAAATTATGTTACGTAGACGATTAACATTCGACAAATTTGTAATGTAATGTGCGTATGATTCAAATTTCAAAGGTCTGATTTGATGATTAGTTTGATCAGATGTTAAAAAGGAAAGAAAAATCATAGTTCTTTATCATCATACCTATCTAGGTGGGGATTTTTTCTGCCTAGGAGTCAGTCTAAGAATGTACCGTATCCGTCTTGCCTATTTCTGCCGCAAAAACAGAAGTATACCCACAACTCTGAACCATCCTCTCTGAACCTGATTTGAGGTAACTACAGAGATGATAACATATCTATGGTTTGTTGTTTGAAATCGATTACAAACTTCCATGGTCTTTAGTTGCCACCTCATAAAGTGGAATGGTAGTTATTTTGTTACCACAATATAATAAAATATCACTCTTGTCTGATGGTGGAAAGGAGAGGGAGGAATTAAAGTGTGTAATTCCTGCGTACGGTTGTCGACAGGGGCGACGATTAGAAATTCCAAAAATACCTTATCGCTTTCGATAGATGGCGGTGATGGGCAGCAGAGTCAAAGGTGCGAGTTGACTGGTGTATTTTTTTTTATAGAAGACAGGGCAAACGAGCATGCAGCTCACCAGATGATAAGTGTCGACCGGCGCCTATCAACAAGTGCAACACCAGGGGATTGCAGGTCCGTTGCCGGTCTTTTAAAGCTCGTTTCTTGAAGGTCCCTTAGTCCGGAAAAATCGCCTGTTGTAAATTATTCCACAAAGTAGTCGTGCGAGGAAAAAACCTGGTACTGCAATAGTCTATCTGCCTGCCAAACGTGATGATTTGG